CCTCTTGGGGGGTGTGGAGGGAGGCCTTGGAGGCACGGTGAGGTCCCGTGCGGTGGCCAGGGCCTGGGGGAATGGGATCCCGTGGGAAGCATTGGTGTAACGGGGGTCAGGAGACCCCCGTGGGGTTGGGGGGAGCTCTCAGCGGACCTGTGGGGATGCAAGGGGAGACCCCGGGGGCAATGCAGGGCCATCTCAGGGTAGGGGGGGCCTGCAGGGTTTAGGAGAGATTTGGGGACCCCTGTGAGAGGAACCCTGTGGGGCCAGCCTGGGCAGATGGGGAGCCCCCAGTCCTGGGGGGCGGTGAGGGCTGGTGGGTGTGCTGGGAGAAGGGTCCTGTGGCTGAGGGGTGAGGGGGGCCAGGGCTGCCCTGGGCCTCGTGTGGAAGAGAGGCAGGAACGCAGCGCTTGGGGGGGTAAAATCCAAATGGATATGGCTGTGGGGAGAAAAGGATGTACTTTTCTTTTTAACCTGCAAGTAAGGCGGAGGCAGAGGTTGCCAGAGAACAGGAGGGGAACTGCAGAGAGTTCGGGGCTCAGCCTGGGGGCTGGAGGGAGGCCCCAGGGGTGGGTTCTGGAGGGAAGGAGCGGGTGATAGAGGAGCTGTGAGAGGGGTTTGTGTCTGGAGGCTGGAACTGCGAGGAGTGTGATAGGAAAAGCCCCGCTGGCTGCCCGGGCGTGATGCAGCTCTGGATGGGGACTGGGGACCTGTCCTGGGCTCAGCTCCTTTTGCGCTGGGGCGGTTTGGGCAGGGGCAGCTCCCCGGGCCCGAGTGGAGGCTGCAGGAAGCTCTTAACTGATGTCCAACAGGTTGGCTTAGTGTGTCGCGCGGCCCGTCTGCTCTGGAGAGGGCTGAGAGCTCCTGCTCTGGCTTTGCCCTGAGCCTGGCTCCTCCTCCCAAAGCTGGGATGCTCCATCTCATCCCCCCGAAGGAAAAGACCGGGGTTCCCTGGGCATCCCTCTTTTTTTCTCCTTTATCGAAAGACGTTTGCTAGGGAGGGCTTTGCCTGCGCAGCTGGGCTCAGGGGGGGCCGGAGGAGCAGGGAAGTGACCCCCGCGAGCATCTCTTCCGAGGAGGAGACGGCGTCGGCGTGGCAGAGGCTCTCCATGCCGTGCTCTCCGCTCCTTCCAGCAGCCGAGGGAGCGGAGGGCTAACGACGCAGCCTCCTGGGGAACAGATTGCGCAGGAATTAATGTCAGCTCTGGAAGGGTTTTCTTTCTGGGGGTGGTGCACTGTTGTCTCATTTACGCTTTCCAGTCGTGCTGCGACACCGACCACAACAAACCTCGCTGCGTTCGAGGTGCCGCCCGGGCGGTGTGCGAGGGCGAGGAGGCCTTTCCCTTTCCCGGGGAGCTGCTGCGTAGCTCCTCTTCCATCCGCGCTAGGGACCGCTCCCGGGGAGGCTCTGCCTTAGCTGCTGCCTGCAAGAGGAAACAGTTATGGTGTAAAAGGCGCGAATCTGAGGCGCAGTGGTGGTTCTGGTTCGCTTCCCCGTGCGGAGCAGCGTTCGCTGGCTGGTGCTCGTGGCGAGCAGGGAAGCGGGCGGCG